ATATATGTAGAAACCAAAATTGTGCTGTCATGGTCAGCCTGGATCTTTCAGCAGCTTTTGATACCATTAATCGCCAGATGCTTATTGACAGATTTGAGGCAGAATATGGCATCACAGGATCTGCCTTATCATGGTTTCAATCTTATCTTTCTAATCGTTTAAAATATATTAAACCTGGCTCCCACTCTTCTTCTAGCTTCACCTTATCTACTGGAGTTCCCCAAGGATCTATCCTTGGTCCCATACTTTTCACTATATACCTCTCCTATTTTTAATATCATTAAAACTTTTGACTTATTCTTACGTTGACGACACATGTATAATAGCTAAAATGTTCACCTCTAATCATATATCTCAGCTTGACAACTTACAATGGCCCTAAACGATTGGCATTAATCAAACTTTCTTTAGCTAAATCCCCACAAATCTGAAGTAATGTTTCTTAGCACTCCGCAACAGCGTATCAAATGTTTCCCCCCCATCACACGTTTTATTGGTTAACTCTTCTCTATCCTTTACCTCTAAACTTAAATTTTTAGGTTTAACGTTTGACTCTATCTTTTAATTTTTATGTCTTACCTTTGATCAAATCTTGTTGCTATTATACGTGGACTATTCGTCATATTCGTAAATTACTCACTGAAAATACCAACACTGGCTCGATGTCTCTTACTATCACGTTTAGATTGTTGTAATTCTCTTCTCTTCCTACCTTTTAACTTTACTTCAAAGAGCTCAAAATAGAGTTGCCAAAGTTGTTTTAAATATCAGTAATTTATCTTCCAGCACAGATTCACTCATTCAACTACATTGGTAAATATCAACGCTTAGTGCTTAACGCTTCTATAGTCTTAATGGGCAATCTTGTTTACTAATTTTAAATAAAAACATACTTAGAACACACACAAAATATTGAAACTACAATAGAAATCCTGGACAACAACATTCACTTTTTCCATTGAGACAAAGCCCTCATTTGTAGTTTTTACATAAACTGCAGTTTCAAAGCTATATGTTCATTGCGGGTGACAAGGACATCATAAAAGAATAGAGATTTTTCATCCTCGTACTCGATGGTAAAGTTTACTTTGGATTTGTTGAGAACAGTGTTTTTGTTCATTTATTCATTAACTTTATTAGGATCTTCATATGATATAAAGATGTAATCAACGTATCTTGCATATATGTGAGGTTTGAAATAGAGATTATCTTAAAAAGTTGATTTTTCAAGATGAGATGACCAATATAGAAGTTGGCAAAAAGAACACCTAGACGGAGTTGCCCATGGCGTCTAGGTGTTCTTTTTGCCAACTTCTATCTGCTGATATAGTTTCTCATTGGGGCTGTAAAATGGTAATAATCATAAAAATCCAAACACTGTCATCATCTTTTATTATAGGAATCATATGAACATCAATTACCAAACGGACAAATCCGTTTTTAAGA